TCAAAACTCGTGGCTTTGGATCTAAACTCGTGGCTTTGGATCAAAACTCGTGGCTTTGGATCAAAACTCGTGGCTTTGGATCAAAACTCGTGGCTTTGGATCAAAACTCGTGGCTTTGGATCAAAACTCGTGGCTTTGGATCAAAACTCGTGGCTTTGGATCAAAACTCGTGGCTTTGGATCAAAACTCGTGGCTTTGGATCAAAACTCGTGGCTTTGGATGTTTTCCAGTGTTTAGCGGCCTCGGGTTTAGGGCTCTAGGGTTTAGGGCCTAGGGTTTAGGGCCCCAGTGTTTAGGGGCCTCGGGTTTAGAGCCAGGACCCCAGTGTTTTGCGGCCTACGGTTTAGGGCCCCAGTGTTTAGGGGCCTCGGGTGTAGGGCCAGGGCCCCTAGTGTTTAGCGGCCTAGGGTTTTGGGCTCCAGTGTTTAGGGGCCTCGGGTTTAGGGCCAGGGCCTCCAGTGTTTAGCGGCCTACGGTTTGGTTTAGGGCTCCAGTGTTCGGGTTTAGGGCTCCCCTCCCTCCCCTTCCCTCCCCTCCCCTCCCCTCCCTCCCCTCTCCCCCCTCCCCTCCCCTCCCCTCCCTCCCCTCCCCTCCCCTGTCCCCTCCCCTCCCCCCCACCCCCCTCCCCCTTTCCCCTCCCCTACCCTCCCCTCCCCCTCCCCTCCCCTCCCCCCCCCTCCTCCCCTCCCCTCCCCTCCTCGCCTCCCCTCCCCTCCCCCCCCCCCCTCCCCTCCTCCCCTCCCCTTCTTCCCCTCCCCTCCCTGGCTTCCAGTGTTTAGCAGCCTCGGGTTTAAGGCTCCAGTGTTTAGGGGCCTGGGGTTTAGGGCCAGGGCCCCCAGTGTTTAGCGGCCTACGGTTTCCATCTGACAAGGCAAAAAGAAGGATGCTAGTTGACCATGCTGGTTTCCATTTTGCAAGGCAAAAACAAGGATGCTAGTTGACCACGCTGGTTTCCATTTTGCAAGGCAAAAAGAAGGATGCTAGTTGGACACTCTGGTTTCCTCCTGCAAAAACAAGGATGCTAGTTGACCACGCTGGTTTCCATCTGACAAGGCAAAAACAAGGATGCTAGTTGACCACGCTGGTTTCCATTTTGCAAGGCAAAAACAAGGATGCTAGTTGACCACGCTGGTTTCCATTTTGCAAGGCAAAAAGAAGGATGCTAGTTGCACACGCTGGTTTCCGTGTGCCAAGGCAAAAAAGGATGCTAGTTGACCATGCTGGTTTCCATCTGACAAGGCTAAAACAAGGATGCTAGTTGACCTGTTTCCATCTGACAAGGCAAAAAGAAGGATGCTAGTTGACCACGCTGGTTTCCATCTGACAAGGCAAAACCAAGGATGCTAGTTGCACACGAAGGTGTGCTTGTTAGTGTGCCACGGCCAAGGTTTTGAGTCGTTCTTGATCAGTTGCTCAATGCGCTGCCTTGAACGGTCATCGCAAAGAAGCTTGATAGCTGCAGTTGCTACTGTAAAGCGATGGCGTGACCGCAGCCTCAGCTGCTGTGGGTAGTGCTTTCTTCTTACACTTTCAACATTTTAACGGTAACTTACGGTCTACTTGCGAATCGACGACGGTTGCAAATATGATAGATTCTTTGAGTCGTGAGTCGTATGTAAGTTAGTATTTAATAATTCAAGCCAAAAGAAATAAAACTATAATTCTAATGTGAGGGGATTCTCTGGGCGGGTGGGGTTTATTCTTGAAGATAGCTTGACTAGAAATAGCTTGACCTTAAATCTTCAAAGTCAGAGCTGCTGAACCCTAGTACCCTAAACCCTCAAACCTCGGACCCCAAACCCTAAACCCAACGGCAGCTCTCTGCCAAAGAGGACTTAGAAGCTGATCGCATGACCTTACACGCCTGCCTCCGGGCGACTCACGGCTGTGAGATGGTGGTTTCTGGTTTAGGGTTTAGGGATTACCTTGGGATACGGAAACCTACCGTTTTGAGGATTCTACCCTCTAATTCAATTTCATATCACCCTATTTTGCAGGGTTTGGGGATACGCTACTATAAGGGCCTAAATAGTTACCTGTAACATTGTGTTGGGGCTCCTTATTTGTCTTATCGAATAATGGGCCCGTATACGGGCATTGTAGGTTTTGCAAATTAAAGGTTCAGGGCTTCGAAGGCAAGGCGAAGCCTCCGGATTTGTTGGGTTTGACGTGGTATTAGCTTATAGTGATTTCCAGAAAGTTGGAACATGGATTTAGGATGATTAGTGCTGGGATTCCTTTATACTTTATCTGGAACTTTAGAGTCCGAGGCTGGTGATGTTCCATTGTTCTGGCTTCTACCGTAGAGCTCAAGCTTTGGGTTTCAGGGTGCAGGATTTTGGGGGCCCTACGTTGTACTGAGTTTAGAGGTCAGTTTAGAGTTCGGGGTTTAGACTTCCCCAGATTGTGTAGCTCAGGGTGCAGGATTTAGGTTGGCTGGGCGAGGTTCATGGCTCAGGGTGGAGTGTTGCGGTCTTTTGGTTCGTGTGTTTGGGTTTTGTGTTTGGCGTTCAATTCTTCAGGACTGAGGACTTATGACGATGGGTTGAGCCGACGGTGTCGGGGCTTAGGACGGCTTTGGGGTTCGGGGTTTAGGGCTTTGGTTTAGCTTGCAAGGTCATGTGATTCTAGAACGCATGCGCTCACAAAGTCGAAATTCTACACCTTAAACCAACTCGTACGAAAGTTAGCATCACATTTGTTTGACCGCTTTAGCAACTGTTGCAGCATTGTCCTTTATAAGCCCTGCAAAACGACATAAGAACCTGCCAAAACATACTAAACTAAAAGTGAAAGCCTATAATCCTATCACAAATTAACAACCTATGAGTCCCTAAGCCCCAATAAAGGACCCTATGCAACCCTTTTGAAGTACCCGCGAAAAGCAGCAAAACACAAAACCCTATCAAAGCCGGAAGGCCAGACCAACCACTAGATAAATCTTAAACCATCAACCTTTCGCCAAGATGTGCTGCTGCGTCATCCTGGCGAAGCTCCTGCGCACTGCTTGCTGCAATGGAGGTGCTGCTTTAGTATTTTGGGGTTGGGGCCTAGGGTTGAGGGTTTGAGGTTTGGGGTAGAGGGTTTTGGGTTTAGGGGATTTCAGGCTCAGGCTTCATGCAGGGTACGGGCTTGAAGACTTGCCCAGAGTATTCGTTAGTCTGCCTGGTTCGTAGTCGAAAATGGAATGGGGGAATGGATCATGGAATCATGGAGTTTATCTAGGGACTATTATAGGGATCCATTCTCCCATTCCCCACTAAGCACCATGACAGTAGTTCGGGTTCTTTGTTGCAGCTAACCGTCAACCATTTCAATCATTCAGGCGCCGATCATCCTCCGAAAAAAGTTGAAGTAGTTGAAGTGCTGACCGGGTCTAACAAGGAGTTACTTGGAAGCCCAGGGGACCTGGCAGCTAAAGTCAAAGCTTAATATGCGGTTAGACACTTCATTCAGCCATATTTCAAGTACTTCTTTTTAGGATAGCCGTTTTTCAGGGTAGTACTCGGAGCAGTATATGATCGCAAGCTATCTCCACTCTTCGGTGACCCCCTGAAAAACGCTAAGCCTCCAAAGGCCCGCTATTAAGCTGCAACAGATCCTATAAATCCTCAACACTTTAGCGTCAAAGTTGGGGCGAGATGTGAGTGCCTGTGGTAGTCAGGGAGCTCGGGCGAGGTCGAAAGGAGTATGTAGGCGGGACCTTATAGCTGTGTATCTTGCAGCAAAGCTTGTAATCCGTAGGGGCTATAAACCCTGTAACGGTTGAGGGCTCCGGGTTCTTGGAGGATGTTCTTAAGTTCTTATGTAGTTACAACTCTAGCTATATTTTCTGGCACGGGGTATGAAGTCCCATGATCGTGTTAATCGGCCCAATATACTCTCCGGACCAAATGCTCTCTTGGCGTGATCTTCCGTTGCCGAACTGCGCAATATACTATCCCAGCTCAGTCTGCAGAAGGCCTTGAAGCTTCAAAGCAACAGGGCCTACGTCCAAACCCCAAGCATTAGAAGGTACTCTACACCCTACCAGGACCCTCCTTGCACACTTAAGTAGCGGTATATGGTCCCAAATAATTATATAACAGCGCATGTAGGGTCCAATAAAGGGTAAATGGAGGGTCTATGCTCAAACCCTGAGCCACATAATGCACTCTCTGTCGTAAGGGGTGAAGCCCCAACCTAGACCCAAGAGCCCTGGACCATCCTGGACCTTGAACCCGCGACCCAAGCCCGAAACCCCGAAGCCCTGAGCCCGGAGCATAAGATCCCGAGCCCGATCGCGAGTCTTCAGTTTGCCTTACCCTACCACTCCAAATAGGCCAAGGTAGGAAGTGCTTTACCCTGAGGGTCCATGTACCTGTAACGCATATACATATACATGTACATCGACGCCAGACTTTCGACCCCAAAGTAGGTAAAAGTTGCATAGGGGTTAAACTGAAGAGCAAGATGTGTGATACCTGCACATGGTAGGAGCGCGGAGTTGCGCTGGACGAGTGGGCTGCCCAGCCGAATGGATTACGAAGCCTCTAAGCTCTGGGGCTTGGAACCAGTTACTAGTGTTAACCATGTTCAGTTGGGTCACAGGCGAGATGGAAGCTGTTCATGGCAAAAGGTTGCTCTGAAATGCACCTTTTCGGGATCTGCATCCTCATTTCCATGTACCCTGTAGTCTTTTTGTTGATGGACTCTGTGTTCGGCACTGGTTTCCGGCTTTGTGTTCGGGGGGTTGCCTGGCCTTGCCCTCTGCAGGCTTCTGCCAAGACGCACAGAAGACATGGGTTGTTGATAGTATAGTTGATAAGAAATCACGTCTTGCCCTGTCGGCAAACCGAGTGCGTCTTCCCGGTCTATGCCACACGCATCATCATGTTATGGTTACCCATAGGCCCCAAAGTAGTTCCTTTTGGGGGTTCATATTTAGAATCCTATTTATAAGGTAATTAATCCCCAAAGGAGCTACTTTGGGGCCTATGGTTAAAGTCGTCTAAGAAGGGATGTTGTTGCGCAGCACCATGGAGCTACGGGCCTTGTTGGCCTTCTACGCGTGTCATCTGGTGGGCTTCTGCTGCTCGGAGCTCTGGGGGGGCCCGCTTGCATGGTTGGCCCGCTTCTGGGTCGCTTTCTTAGCCTGGTACACATGGGGTGCGTGGCGCTGTTGGGAGCAGTTCATCCGCCACCGTAGTGACAGGTCGCAGAGCAACAGCCCATCCAACCGGCGCCGGCCGAACCTTCAGCGCCGCAGTCGCTTGGACGTGGGACTGCCGAACACCGAGGACGTCCAAGCATTGGCACAGGTACTGCCAGCTGCAGGCTCTGCGCCCTCAAGCCCGCAGAGCAGCGTGGTGCTTAGCGACTTTGGGGGAGTCTCCTCGGAGGCATCGACGACATCAGGCAGCCCACGTAGGCGTCGTCGTGGCTCGGCCAAACTTGAGCTAAGCCAGGTCTTAAAGCTGAGCGACGAAGTGGCCCTGGACTTGGACATAGACCACATTTACCTGGCGTTGGTGCCTTTCCTTTGGGGGCAGATCTTCATTGGATTGCCGGCCTGGGCCAACATGCTCTTGGGCGCCAAGGACACGCCCGGAGCTTTGCGCTTCGGTTTCTGGCAGCTCCTCTACCGGCTCGGGTACCCAAGGCCCTTGGTGAAGGACCCCCGAAAAACCTGCGCAGAGCTTTTGCTGGAGACAAGCTTGGCAATCTACTTTCAGGAGGAGAGTGTTGGCGTCGATGGCAGGAAGCTGGCCCACTTCAAGATCCCTTCAGTGCCCCACCTGACAGGCGAAGATTTCCGCAGGATCCAGCACGACGACCTGAGCGTGGAGATAGATTTGGGTGAGAGGGTGCTCTGCACCGCCAGCTATGGCGACCAGCAGATCAAAGCGGACGAGGCCATGGTGTTACTGAACCTCGCCGTTAGCATCATGCTGCACCCCATGCTGCATGCCTTCGCCAACTGGTCCACCACTCCGGAGAGCCCGGATGCTTACACAAGGCGCAACTCAATCGTCACCGTCCTCTTCAACTACTACGGCATCAAGGCCTTTGCGCAATGGTGCGATTTCCTCTGTCATCTGGGACTTGGGAAAGTCAGCGGCGAGACGTTTACCACTACGGTCAGGTCAGGGATGCGACAGCATGTGCCGCCGCATGCACAGGTGTCGCTCCTGGCGCCGCACAGCCGCCTCGTGAACTTCACTGTTTGTGTTCGCAGCTTCTTTCTGAGGAAGTTCCAGAAGTACCAGGGACAGTTCCCTGGCATCGACGGTGAAGCGCTCTTCCTCGCCACCGTGCTGCACCCCCTGGAACATTTCAACTTGGTGACTCTGCAGAGCGCATATGACATGGTGTGCGCCAACCCGACCTTCGAGGGTGATCTGCAACTCGTGCGGTCGGCCATCATTATAACCTCAGACACTAGGGTGTTCAGTGGAATACCTTTCTGTTGTTTTTTGTGTGCTGTCTGGCTTCGGTTGTAACATAACACTGACACAACTTACCCGCGAGACTATATCTGTTCTAACTCTAACATGCTGTAAACCCCAAACCCTACAATACACCTTAAACCCTAAACTCCCTAAACCCTAATGCCTAAACCACCTAAACCCTAAACCCTACACCACGTAGGACAAGCTTTGGCTCAGCAATCTCCTTTACGACTTCAGTTTCCAGGGCTCCTCGCACGAGCTTTTCAAGGAGACCTATGAGCATGCCGTGCCTGGCCTTATACCAGGACCCTCCTTGTACTCTCAAATAGGGGTATATGGTCCCAGATAAGGGGCATTTAGGGTCTACGTAATAGAGGGTAGGTGGAGGGTCTAGGTAATTAGAATAAGGTTCCTTTGAAGGGGCCTTAATAGCTAGAAGAGGGTCTTGTGGCCCATTATTATACTGTAATTACAAAAGGACCCCCCCAAATAGTATAGGTAATTATTGAGGCCCCTAAAGTAGCCGAGAAAACCTTCCATTTTAGGGTTCCGTGGGTTTTCTACATCATTCCATCAACAGGTAGGTTTTCTGGGCCCAGGTACTTATCGATGAGGAGTTCGCAAACGAAATGGAGTGCTGCGTCATGCGCTAGCCGACAAGGTCGGCTGCCCTTGCACGGTTCTGCATTTAAAATGTGAGGATGAGACACCGCGCCATCAGCAAGCCCACGGTTGCGCGCTCCACGCCTGACGAAATATCGTCGTACCTAGACCCCCCATCTACCCTCTATTAGACCCTAAATGCCCTTTATCTGGGACCATATACCCCTATCTGAGGGTACAAGGAGGGTCCTGGTAATTTGGCATTTAATTTGCGAGTATCAACGTAGCAGCGATGCCTATATCCGGCAACCGATGCAGGCTCGACTGCTTTCGCTGAGATGAAGCAAGACAAGAGAGTTTCCCATGCCTCCTAAAGAGGCTTTTCCCTCTTCCATCTTGTCTGTTCCGTCCACTGTAGCTGCTCTGGCTGGATGCCGAGATGTTTTATGGTCTCTATACATTATATAATTGTTGTCAAGTATGCCTGGCGAGTACGCGTGCAAAATGGCTGCGGGGCGCATTTCTTGTAATTGTAGGCCGCCGTACACTGTAGCCGCATGCAGTCACCCAAGCTGTCCTCACTTCATGCACCTGCGGCGGCGGCCTCATACATCCTACACTCCAAACCCTGAACTCCCAAACCCCTACCCTGAGGCTCTAAATAACCCAAGAGCCTAATATAAGATAGTCTTCAGGCCCAAAAACCTGAACATATGAGTCCTTAGAGCCTTAGAGCCTTAAACCTACAAAACTCAGTGAGTCGTGGTGGTTGTAGGGTTTGGCGTGTTGACGGCTTGTGGGAGTATAGAGCTTCTAGGGTCATAGGGCTTAATTTGTAGGATTAGATGAGGTTCAGGTCTGCTTCATAAGTTGTTTGGATCTGGGATGTTTTTGGTTTTGGAGACCTAGACCCTCACTCTACCCTCTATTAGACCCTAAATGCCCCTGATTTAGGACCATATACCCCTATTTCAGGGTACAAGGAGGGTCCTGGGATTTAGTTGAATTTTGCGGTGTAGCTTGCCGGAAAGAAGAAACCTCGCAGTGTTGCCTCGCCTTATTCTGGGTCGCCATGTTTGAAAATCGCACAGAAACCACACAACAGGGGCTTTGATCATTAGAGTAGGGTTCCTTTTAAGGGAGACGAGAAGGGCTGCTACAAGGGATCTCTAAGGGTATACTTTAATAATATAGGGGTCTGAATAATTAGAATGGGGTTTTGGGGTTACATTATAGCGTAAATATAGTAAGGAGCCCCAAAAAAGTATAGGTAATTGTTAAGGCACCTATACTACCTGCCCGAAAGTATGTAGTAGAATAGCCTTCTGTAGGAGTTGGACCATCATTTCATCTTTTTTGGAGGGTCTAGGTACCCCGTAAAGCCTGAACCGTGACTGCCAATCATCTGGCTGTATTTGCAAGCTTTACCATGTCGCCGCGTTTCATGTCGGCCGCGCGTCTTTCAGATGAAAGAACTCCTGACACAAATTACCCAGATTCTGTTCATCTGCATTACGTCAACCCCAAAAACTACATACTTGTTCAGGGTTTCTTATTCCGACCTCCTTATACCAGTCTTTCGAAAGGTCGGGCTTTAAAGGTTTACAGGCCTCAACATCCTCTACAAACCCGTATAACTTCCTACTTAAAAACCATATAAATCCCTTATAAAGTTGCAGGGACACCACATCGTAGTCCACGGCACGGCTGAATGGAAGGGCAATCCTTGACCCCAAACCCCGAAACCCTAAATCCCCCAAGTACCCTTGAATAGAGCCCTTAAGGTCTTTACAATGGTGGGTATTCAGGGCGTAAAAGAGGTTCCTCAACCCTAAACCTTTGCAACAAAGTTGAAACTAGCACCCCTAAATCCTGAATCCTATTCCCAAACTCTAATCTTTCAACCCGGAATGTTTTGAAACTAGGATGCTCTCATCGTTGTTGGATCTTTGGGTCTAGAGGCTCCCATCCTCAAGATCCTGATATAGGGGCCTTAATAATAATTACCAATACTATGTTTGGAGGTCCTTGTTATGATTTTAGTCTGATAGGCCCCCCAAAACCCTATTCTACTACTTATTCAGGCCCCTACTTAAGGGATCATGGGACTTAGTAACTAGGGTTATAATTAAGGTAACTGTACTTCTAAATACTTATAACCCCAATTAGGGTACCTATAACCCTATACTTACTAGGTCCCATGATCCCCCATTATAGAACCCTTATAGCTCCCTTTAAGGAACCCTATTACAGAGCCCTATAGTACCCCTAAAGGGAAGCTATGTTGATTAACCAAGAGAGCCCGAGCCAGACACCGAAGCCTGGAGTCTTAGACCTTCGGGTTTAGGCTGAGGGCTTAGAGCCCTGTAAGGGTTCCTCTGAGGAGGTTTTTTTGGGTTTAGGGTTTAGGGTTTAGGGTTCCTCTGAGGAGGTTTTTTGTTGGATGCGTTAAGGGTTCTGTTAAGAGGCGGTTCGGGGTTTAAGGCTCTAACCCCCCAAAAAAGCAAAACAGGCCTTGAACTCGGCATTGGCATCTCTGGGATCGGCATTGCGATGGGAGCATCCTGCCAGATTCGGTTACAGAATTTGGCGTGTAAGGGTCTAGAGTTTACGGGTTTAGGGCCTGTTGCGGTTTAGGGGGTTTAAATCCAGATTAGGGTCTGTATACGGGCTGTCTATACGGGCTCAGGGGCAGGGGGGCCGGGCCGGGTGGCATGAAACAAACCGCCGAAACCTCAACGCTGAGCCCTAAACCCTAACCCTAACCCCACCACCCGAAAGGCCAAACCCGACCCTGAGCCCTAAACCCGAGACCCTAACCCCTGAACCCTGAACCCTGAACCCGAAACCGTGCTTATCGTCAGCCCTTACACAGAACCCTGCATGCATTGCACTTACATCTAGGCTCGTGCCTTCCCTGACGATTTGTGAGCGAAGCCATAGTGCTTACAGGGCTGAGGGTTTCTGTAAGGATCTGCTTTCGGTGTTAGGGTCTTTATAGGGATCAGAGGGATCAGGGTTTCTAGGGGGATTACCCACCTGCAACTCTTAGCAACGACATTGCGCAGTTGCCGTGTTTGTCACGTCCGTCGTTCCTTTGCATGTCAGCGAGAAGAGCTCGCTGTGGACAGGAGCAATTTAAGCAAACTCCTGCAAAAGCCTCATCTAAAAGAATGTAGAACCCAGCATTCCCCGAACTTGAAATCCAGTCCTAGGACCCGAAAAGTACAAAAGTCTGTAACCATAACACCAAAAGCCACAGCTCCGAATCAAACACAGCTTTCAGGGTTTCGGTTGGAACGTTTTGGGCTTTGGAGCTTCGTTCGGGTTTGGGGGCGCTGCAGGGCTTTCGATCCGAGGGGATAAGGAGGGACCCTTAATAAGGACACCTAGGTATATATCCTTGCTATGGCTATTATATACCCATTATATAGCCCATTACAGGGTAGGGGTCCCCATTAAGGGTCCCTCCTTTTCCCCTTTGGTTCGAGATTAGTGGCATTCAGCTCTTATAGATGCTGAGTAAGAAGAGCTGAGGCGTGCCTTGCACTGCCTCACGACTCACGAGAAGCTAAGAGAGACTGGCCTTCACGCCATTTGGGAGTTCCCGAAATTTAGGATTACCTCATTTGGGGTTCCGTATAATGAGGATCCTATACTATTTGAGGTACGATATTAGGGCCCCCTGTTTTCGGAAACTCCGGTTTCAGTCTTTGGGAGTGTGAAGTACATTCGATTCGGGTCGAGCACTGATGGTTCAGGATTTGGGGCCCCGGGTGATTCAAGTTTCAGGGATTGTCTCTACCAGGACCCTCCTTGTACCCTCAAATAGGGGTAAATGGTCCCAAATAAGGGGCATTTAGGGTCTAATAGAGGGTAGATGGAGGGTCTAGGTATGAGGTTGAGTAATTGCTACGTTGCCGTTGGGGTCTAGAACTGTGGGTTTAAGGTCTCGGGTTTTCGTGCACGTGATTTCCCATGCTACCTTCCCAAAGAATCTTCTTAGGCTGTTAACAGACTATATATCCTAAAATAGACTATTAGTCTATTATAAGATATATAGTCAAAAATAGACTAGGATATAGTCTATTTTAAATAGACTATTATAGTCTATTTTAAACTATTGAATAGTCTATTTTAAACTATTACATAGGCTATTTTAGCCCTTGATTTTCCTCCAGGAGCTCTTGCTTCCTTGAATTCTTTTCAGGAGCTTATGCTTCCTGACTTAAATCTTGGACTGGATGTTTGAGGAGCTTAAGGCTTCCTGACTTAAATCTTGGACTGGATGCTTCAGGAGCTTCTGCTTCCTAAGGCGGCTTCTGGCTTATAATTTGCCCAAAACCCCAGATGCAGCACTCCTTTTACTCGCAGTCTCATCCCATGGCTTCCTTTCGAGTGGACTTCACTCTCAGTGAAACTTTTCATCCCAGAGCTGGCTGGCTTTCGAGTGGGCTTTGCGAGCCCACTCTACGGCCTTCTCTTTCCCCAAGCCGTGGCCAAGAGCAAGCCTCTTCGCCTTGGCGTAAAATCGAGATGTGTAGTGGTTCCTACTGTCCGTGCTTTTAAACACGGAGTCAGAGATAATAGTGCTGATCGCCTCCTGGTAGAGCTCCTTCTCCTCGCGGCCGGGCACAGGGGCAGGGTTAACAGACTCCTTCTGCTTCTTGGCAGCTGTGCCGGCTTCTGGATCTTTGGCAGCAGGCCGCTTCTTCGGCGAGGCTTCTGGAGCTTTGCTCGCAGGCCGTTTCTGGACAGCCGCCTCCTTCTGCTTCTTGGTGAGGGGCTTGGCCGGAGAGGCTGCCCAGGCATTCTGCAAAGCTTGCTGTGTCGCCCTTTGCATGAAGTCCATGCTTCCAGATGCCCTTGGCATGCAGCCCATGCTGCCAGAAGCGGGGGTATGGGACACCGGAGGAGTGACAGGTGCAGGTACGACTGCTGCTGCAGGCTCCGTCTCGGCATCCTTCGCTGGCCCGTCCTGGAGTGCAAGTACACCTTTCAGCGGCACTGTCTCCGATGGCTGCACCATGTCCTCCATTTTGAACTTCGG